CGCTCGAGTTCCGGTCCAGTAGTGTGCGCACGTTCCAGCACCCGATGCTGAGTGCTTTGCGCGCAGGCATACGATTGCATTGGTGGGCAATCGCACGCGAGGTGGTCGTTGTGCTTCGGAGGTTTGCTTGAGGGACTCCACCCGGAGCCTTTGGCTCAATAGCCTGACCCACAAGGCAGTGGGTGGTTTGGAGGTTTGCTTGAGGGACTCCACCCGGAGCCTTTGGCTCAATAGCCTGACCCACAAGGCAGTGGGTGGTTTGGAGGTTTGCTTGAGGGACTCCGCCCGGAGCCTTTGGCTCAATAGCCTGACCCACAAGGCAGTGGAGAGCAGATCCAGCTCGGGAATGTGATTGCAGAGACAGATGGGGATCTGCTTGACGGCCGTCACACGCAGCCTTTGAGGTTCTGGAACAGTTATCATATGTTTTGCGACCGTAATTGGATACGCACCTGCGACCACGGCCAGACGCAGGTGGGTTTTTGGCGGGTTTGCACCAATTTGACCAGGGGCTGCCTGGCTTGAGGCGGGCAGTAGCAAACCATTGAACACCCGGAGGTGTCCTCCCACCGTCAGAGACAATGCGTGGTACTCGTGCTCTACGCCAATCGAGCATTGAGAATATAACCCGTAACCTGTTGTCTCCCATGGCTAGGTTTTACGGGAAGTGGGCCATCGACCACTTCCTAACCTCCGGAGAGGATGGACTAGGATACTGCCAGGGCGCCCACACCTGACAGGAGAACGACTCGGGTCCTCAGCCAAAGCCTTCGATTAAATGAACACCCGAAAGGCAGCGGGTCTAGCACATAGTCAGTTCACTGACTCATGCGGATTGGTGTCCTGGATCTTAGCAGGGAGAAGGGCGAAACCTAACTCCCACCCAGCGGTCGCCACGTGGAGGCGCCCAGGACATGAGAATATGGCGCAACAGTAGCAGCAGTGGGTAGACCATCTGTCAGGATCTAGCCACCACCAGCCTCAGCGCACCATAGGCTCTCCCGCCTCCATATACCGACATATATATACCCATATATAAATGTTTGGGTCCGATGAGAGTTACCGAAAAGAATTCTTTACCCTGAAATGATTTCTGATATTGATTCATATTAATGAAACGGGACTCTTTGCTTTGCTGAAGAGCAGCATTGCCCGTGATTCATTGAAACTCTTAAATGAGTATGTATGTATGTTGGTTTGTTATGAATAGAGTATGCCCCATGCTGAGGCTGATGTTGCATTCTTGATGCTTCTTCACCGCAGTTGGGCTAAACCAACTTACACTTAAACTAGGTCTCTTTAAGCTGCATAAATTTCATTCCTGTTTATTTGGTTTGTTTTGCCTATCTGGATAGTCTTCTATTAGCTGGCCACGTTGTCTACGCTAATTGCGCTTATCTTCGGTAATTTTGTTGCGTTTGTAGCATTTTTGAGTAACTTGTGGACATTCTTTTTCCTTATCGCGGATTCATTGCTAACCAACTTACTTCATATGCTAATTTAGCGAAGAGTTATCCCACCGTATCTGTATGCATTATTGGATTTATTTTATTTCATTTTGTCGTTTCAAGTGATTGGCTGTTGCTTGATATCCCCGATGTGGCTGCGCTTGATGTGCATGTTGACAAGGTGCCTACCTGTCTATTACTCACTACCTCGTCCATACTGGCTCCAGGAGACAGTTGGTCGTTGCTGGAGGGGACGGGATGCACGGTCCTTGTGGCCGTGCTAGGCTCAAAGAGCGGTTCCATGCACTCAGTGTGGAGCGGACTACGGTCCACCCACTGCCTTGGGTGTGATTGATTCCAAAGTACAGCGTCCATGTGTTTGCCTGTGAAGGAGTGTGGGCCGGCTCCGTTGATGAAACGTTGCTCCCATCCACATGCCTCCCGATCTTATTCCCTCGGGTTTACACTGGATATGGGGTGTGTGGATGGAGCTGTGGGTGGTGCAGCGCAAGCCACCCATGGTCCCTCTGTAGGCGCAGGCGTCCTGTGGTTGGCCACAGTGACAGGCAAATCCGAAACCGGATGCTGCCAACCATGTATGAATAGAGTGGTTACGGAAACCATAAACTGATTAACACAAAGCCACTAGTGACCTATCAAACAGCAGCGAAATTATGGGTGCACTTTGTACACCACCAACAATTGGGTTTACGGTCTATGTAGAAAGTACATTTGATTTTTCGAACACATGACCAATCCGTTCCAGGTACAGGACTAGCAGCACAACAAGGATAGGGATTTTGCTGAACCAAGCTAAAAAAACATTATCAGAAATCAAGTGGATGTACCGGTTGGACCGGTGGATTTCCACTCACAATTGCGCTCTGGACACCAAGTCACTTTGAAACGAACATCGATCAACTCGGTCGCTTGGACATTTGCAGGAACAGAAAAGTACGGCTATGTCTTGTATGAGGCACCCAGCAGTGTGACCTTGGGGTACTAATACAGACAACCTCGGTTACGTTGAGAAATCTGAGTAGGTGTCAGACAGAGAACCAAAAATTCGGTTATATATGAAAGACATTCAGAAAGTAATGATCCAACCATTATGTACCCAGTTGCTCAGCACATACTTGTGGCCTCACTTGGTCTGCTTTCTAGCCAGGCCTGCCAGCCCTGGCAAAAGCAGGACCTGACACCGCTCGAGACTCCGTAACGAGGAGACACCATGCTGGTCAAAGGATTATTCCACCTTCCATATCAACTTAGCCTCTGAACCCTAATTGTATACATCGGTCGGTATCGGCGCCTACTAGGCAATCCAATAATGACCTGCAGGATTTCTAGGGACCACAACCACGTTTACCATGACCTAGTGCGAGGTGAACACAACACAAACGTGAGGCCTCCATTTCGAGTTGATCGCGTTACACAGCCGACTAAAATGTCCACGGAACTTTTGCTCTCTTCATGTGTCAACCACGGGAAGCCATCCCGTACGTACCGTCCCCACGTTCCCATTGTCTACAAAATGCCTTGACTTTGCCCAACCCATCTACAGTACAAAATACTGCGCACGTACTTTGGAAGACAACGTAAGGTGACAACTGGTGCACCCACCAGCACTTTCCTACAAGATCGATGTATGCTGTTTTACGCACGCCACAATATAAAATTTGGTAAATCCCACAAAATGCTTTTCCTTTTATCCCCATGTTTCAGTATTTTTATTTTATTGTTCCAATTCTGGGCATTGCACGGAACTTACCAAATAAGTCCTTGCTATCCCACGCATAATGCACCATTGGTCTGTCGTCCCAGTTCGCTCTGTACTGAAGAGCCTTGTTTTGTTCCAACGTAATCGTCGAAAATCAGAGCAAACAACCCTTATTTTTGGCCACCGGTTTCATGAAGGTCTAATAAGATTTGCTCAGGAATTCACCTGCTCGGTCACCCCAATCAAGCCGTCTCAAATGCAGTACAGGCATCCAGTTAGTTCGCGCACTAGGTGGTTATGCACAGGCAGTCCCAGTTTTCCAGGTGCAAAGATTAACATGCTACCTCTTTTAGCATATACCCACTCACGATCAATACAGGTAGTTACGTTCGCCGAAGTTGTTCCCCACCCGCTGTGTCCGATATGCAAATATTTTCAAGTAACCGAATTTTGCAAAGTTCAGTGCATTGAATTCCATCACCTTACTTTTCAGCACAGACGATGACAGCCAGAAGGGTAACAGATGAAGGAGGACAAGTACAGAAGTAAGGTGTAATTTTCTTCATTCGATTAATGGGCCTAGACTAAAACGCGTTAAGGAATACGTTCAGTATCCGTCCGCCAGCCGAACTCGACCTACTGCTAAAGACACGAAATAATTACCATCATCGTGGTTTGAATTTGCCTTCGCTCAAAATTTCATCACCATCTGAGGCGTCCCAGGCAACACAGAAACTAAGTTCCCCGTTGCTGTCGTTTGACGAATGACGCCGTCAGAACAACTGTTTCCTATGCATCGGCAACCCGGAGTCACAAAATCATCCAACTGGGTTTGTTACCCTGGCGAGAGAATTAATCTTTTATTGCCATGCACCTCGCCCGCCAGCCGAGTGAAACAACCACTGGGTGGTGGTGACGTTAAGTTGGCAAATGCGGGCTATCCAAATCGTGGCGGCGAACTGGACCAAATGCAGTTGTATGGGGTGTCGCACTTGGTGAAAAGACTACTAGGACCACCCACGCAACTGTGGCACGTGACACCGAGGCAAGTGCAAGTCAAACGTGCTCAAAATGAAATACTGGAGCAAGGATGCAACCGTCGAGGTTAATCGTGTATTCAGTCGCGTCTTATACATGGGGAGCAAAACGGAATGTCCTATCACCACATCCCGCAATCAATTATTGCGGTAACATGCTTTGTGATCAATGGAAACCGCATGACATCACTACGTGCTGATGCAACAATAAAGGTAGATGCAAGCTAACTGAAAATTACTTAAAATGAATCAATGGTACCTCAACGGGAAAATTGCTTCAACGTCAATAGTTGAGTTGTTTCTACAACGTAATGCCTATCTCATGGTTAGTGAACAGAGTTTATACATGCTGATGACAATGTTGCTCCTTCCAGGCCCCTCTAATATGCACCATACCAACTAACTTGTTTGCCTCCCTGTCCGGCTGAGCTATCAGTGAACAGCTTGGTTCCACTACTGACAACAATAATCCGACATACTGCTTGCGTTCTTAGACCTAGGACGTTGATGCAGGAGCAAGTTCTAGCAGGCGCTCTTGGCTCGTTTCATTAGCTGCACAAGTCGCGGCAAGTGACTGAGCGCCCTATGAGATGTAACCGACGAAGTTACCAACAAATAATGAGTCGAATTACCCCATTCAATTAGCCGAAGAGTAGGCCATTGTAAGGCACATAAATGTTGGCTAGTGCCCTACTGTTTCTTGTGGGTAACCGTAACTAGGTGACGCTAACTTACGTGACATCGCGGTAGTACTGGTTGTACATATAACAACCAAAAGACAATGAATAATAAAAGAAGAAAATTACAGCGTGTATAAAAACTAGTACATAGGATTTCAGGTACAGCATCGTTCTTCGATATATACATGTGGCAAGTCATAAGGAAAACTTAAAGATACGGCCTCCAAACGGACAGCGTACCGGTTGGTTTAGTCGTTTCAACTCGCCTGAACGCAGTCGGTGGTGATGCCCTCAGCGTAAGCACAGCAGGCTCTAAAGAAAACTCCGCATTCTGAAATGGCCTGTTCAGTACTGACGATAAAGGGGACCGAAATGGATAGGGTCGATGAGATAAAGCTTCTGAGTGATCTGTTTGTGCAAATGAAGTACGGAAATGGACAAATCTTTGGTTCTGCTGGAGCATATTTTTTCCTGGTCCCACGCTCCGGTGTTCCGTGGTATTCTCATGCGGGCTGCATACTCCACTGTCAGTTGAGTAACACGAACGACTCTTTTGCATCGGAGTCGGAGGAACGCTCGAACTAGAGTTGCTAACACTGCGAGTCAAGGGGCTGCTTGAAATGCTGGGGATCGGACGGTTGCTTTCGTCAATTTCCAAACAGGAACTTGGGCTAAATCCGCTGGATCCTATATTCTCGAGATCGAGGGGATGGGTTCTGCTATGACTATTTACGTTCGTCGTAAACGTGGCGGCAGCCGTCAGTTCTGGGAGTTTTGATTGGAACTGGTGCAGCCAAGACTGCAGTACTGTAGGAAATAAAGAAAACGTGAACTATTTTAATTTCTGACAATGCATGAAAGGAGTAACTGTTGTGTACTAATACCGGTTGTCAGACGCACACACGCCTCAAAATGTTAGGCGTTAAAGAGGTAGATTTAATGATACAACCAAGGCTCAATGAATAATGAAGCTTGGGAAAACATTACCTGGTTGTTCGCGAGCAACCTTTGCAACATGCTCCAATACTTTACAGCACGTCGTGAGTATATCGACTTTTTCTGCTTTGTGTTGCGCTTCAGGCTGGAAAACCGAAAAGATAAGACGGCGCTTCAATGAAATTGCAGAGAGAAAACCCTACTGAACTCTTAATTCAACGAGGCTAGAACGATCAGCTCAAACTTGTTTGGTAAGTGACCAAATCCTCTCATCCATACACAGGGACTCGTTTCCGCTTCGCTTTCGGTTCTACGGAGTGCATGTCATGCCAACCGTGACAATCGGACTCCAACAACCACAAAAGCTCAATTCCAGTTTGGCATGACTACAAACTTGGTGGCTACGTTGGCTGCGATAAGTGCTAAGAATGCATGTCCATTTCCGGCCGGGGCAGGACAGAGCGAACCGAAAGTAGTGCAATTCGATTGAATGCTCTTTGTGTATGCTAATGAAAAACCAGACCATGTGTTAGGTGTCATTGTATGGGAAATGAGCTAAACATAGGTTGTCACAATTGTTCGGTAGGCCACAGTAGATCACAAAGAAAACTTGTGCACAATGCAATATAGACAGCATATGAATTATTGGCAAACATACGTACATGAAAACAAAGAAAGTGGATAGAACAAGATACGACTCACATCTAAACCGACGATATTCATAGCCAAACTGTGTAATGCGTTCATCTTGTGTGATATACATGCCCGACGCCTTCGTTCCATCTTTTGCTTCTTTAGCTACAAAAAGGGAAATAAAAGAGAGATTGTACGGTTAATTTGATGCACTCCTTGTGTGGATGGACTTCGACGCGCAAACTCAATGTAGACTGCTATTCGCATTGAAGAGAATCTTGATCAATCTGATCACTGAAGCTGCAACTGATGAAGTGGATAAAAATTGGGCGTTGCCCGCCCTAGCATAGAGTTTTCAGGCGAGATATTAGATTAGCTACGCGACTGAAAAACAAATTTATAACACGGCTTTGGCCACGCAGTCACGCATAAGTACTCGCTTCCAACACCACAATCACAAGCACCTGGGGATGGAACACAATGGTGTAGTTTTTTACAGCCTGTGGCAACAGACGGATCTGCTCCTGACTTATTTATTCAGGATGATTGACCTCGTTTTCTGCCACCTTCATATCACAAGTGAGGCCAAGTACTATACTCATCGCAGCCGTGCAATCTAGATTAAGAACTCACTCTGCGTGTTTGTTCTCGCTGTTCTGGAGAGACAGTGGGACGTCTTCCCCTTCTGCACCTAATAGGGCAATTGATTGTGGCTGTGCTTGGGGTGGATATTGCAAGCACGCTCGGTAAAGATACCATCTTTGGCACGCTGTTTGCACACAGCCCTGGGCAAGTGAGACCGACAGCATGCATAGTTAAGGCTTCGACATCAAGGAGTCGCGCGACTGTTCGCTATCCATAGCGGGATAATAAGGTGTCCAATAACCCTCGCTTTAATTGGTTCATATTAGCTATGACTTCCTGGCGCACACGGCTGAGTATGACCAATAATCGTACGAGCGCATGCCGGACCAATCACGTGAGAGAACTGTTGGTCGAATGTCTATGTTGGCCCGTGGCACAACCACACGAGGACCATGCGATGACTGAGTGGCCACAGCTACCCCCTGCCACGTGTTGGACGGCGCGTGGAAATGGTCGTGGTGAGGTCAGAGCGGTCAATGTTACCATCAGCAGACTTAAGCAGCAAATTTGGGTGGGTATGCTCGACATATGATACCGGAAGTTGTCTATTTTCTTGGTTTATTGAAGAAGGAGCACAAATACATAAACGTAATATTGCGTGCAAAATGGTCGAAGGTCGGAAACAGTACGGGAAAATAACGGAAGGGTTTTGATGTAAACCATTTCGTTGATTATATTTTCGTGTTCCATCAAGTCAGTGGGTAAGCTGTAATATCTAAAAGAATATTTCATGGATTTGTTTTGAGGAAAATGGAAAAGCCTATCAAAATGTTATAAGAAAAACGAAACGAGATGAAAACATACAGTTCAAATGAAACTTATGAAACTAAGTGCATTTGAATGACAATAACCATATAGGAAAAGTAAATGAGCCGGAACCAGAATGGGGAAAACACGGATAGATAAGTGTGTAGAACTTTTATTGACTTTGAGGATGTTACCTAAATTGTCTGAGTTAGGGAAAGAAGCTCGGACGTGGAACTGAACTAATGCGGACTGAGGGCCCATTGATGCATAGCACTAAGCGTGTTGGTGGAAATTGGCATTTTCTTTTGCTCTCCGGTTGCAAATTGTCCGAACTCCGGGTTAACATGGCTACCCGGCTGTTGTTGGTATCAGGCTGTCACCAGAACGGTAAAGGTTTCTTCATCAATACGGCTTTGCTCCTCGTCGTTCATTTGTTTATATTATGGTTGCTCAGAAAACCGAACCAATATTATACAGAATGATAAATAAACTTACGATATGATATATAATCAATCATTCCTTCACCTACATCGCAGAGGTACTTTTATGCAGCGATTTTCTCCTCGAATATTATCACTTAACCCATTGAAACTGTATACAGCGTCAGGCAAAAGCCGTCCGTCGAGCAACAACGTCCTCCTCTTGGTATAACTGAGGAATTCCGGTCAAATATGATTGCTTAAGCCCGAGGATTAAATTTAACTGAATCACTGAACTTAGTGTAAAGGGAGAGAAAATACTAATTATACTTACGAGCTTACTGAAGCAAAATTTTATCCAAGCCTCTGTGTAAAATGCTCATTAAAGTTCATGCATTCTTTTGGTGACTTCCAGTATAAGTCGATTTTAATTGCGTTTCATTGCTGGTAAGCAATTTTAATTCAGTTTCACTGCATATGTGCAAATGTTCGTAGCATGCTTTGAATGTGGCCTATCTGATTCCATTGTTAGTTCTGTTGGTTTCAAGTTAAGTACTAACTAAATAAGAATATATTTAATTTCGCTACAGTGTGAGAGACTGTTCCCGCATCGGGGCAGATCAATAGGTACACAGTTGCGTTTCTGCAGTGAAAGCATCCAACTTAAGACTGGGAACAATTCATTCCAGTGAGTGTAGTTTGCATGTATGCAGCTTATATCACTTTTGAACTATGTGGTAACTTCATACCATTAGGAAACCTTAACTTTAGTGACTGATTAGAGTAGTTGAGTACGTATGGGAGAAATGCTGGAGGGGAGTTCCTCATACTCATGTGAAGGCATCTTTAGGTCCGCGTTCGTCACTCGCCACAATGGGATTCTCTGACAATTTTGCGCGAGATAACCACGTGACAGTGCGATTGTTCCACGCCGCACAAATCCAATTAACTCTTTTTCACAAGCAATACCAACTTGCGATAAAACTCATGCTGCTGCTGTATGATGTCGACACCATTTTCGTACCCCAAGGCTGAGGTATTCGTAACATGGATATGAAGTTTTGCACGGTGAGGTGCTTCTTGACAGACTTGTTAAACCCATGCAATTGACCGCACTTCTTGATGTCTTGCCGTAATTTATTCCAAAGCTTGGAGTATGCAATGAGAAATTTTCTCTCATTTTGTTTCGCTCCTTGGAATTATGAATTGGCAGCTCACATTCCGTACGGGATATATGTTACTCTGCATAATACACAGATTTGCTCCTGCGGTGTAAACACAGTTATATATGATTCGGATTAGGAAATACAGGTTACTCTCATTCTTTGCCCAACAACCTCTTCGTGTTGCCATCTGGATGGTTCGGGATTATCCCGTTCCAGCGACTGGTTCGGCGGCAGTGTTCCAGGACGTGGTGGGTTTTCGCCTGGCAAGCGTTCTCCCTATAAAAATCCACATATGTCCGTTTAACAACACTGTGACGTGGCGGATGTGACTCACCACTAAATAAAGTCACTGCCCCTTGCCTCTCTCTGAGTGGCATTGTAATTCAAGGGTGTCTTGGGCCCCCTGGTCCTGTGCGGTCCAAAAGGCGTATGAACCAATCCTTTGGTCACCGGCTCCCAAAGGGTTTGCGAAACCCTTATATCGCCCTGCTGCCTTGTAGGTTAGATCCTTGATCAAAGGCTCGGGGTGGAGCCCCCTAAGACAACCCTCTACTTCGGCCTGGGCAACCAGGTAGTATCTCGCCCACTGACGAATCATGGGCTTACAACCACAACCATTCACCGCTCTCCTGCTGCTTCCATGCTATTCATTCATGTCATTATGCCAACTGCACAAGCACACGCCACCATTTTACCTACGCTTCTCTCGTACCATTCACACCCATTTTTATCTGATTCCTCTATGGCGATCAACCCCACATAAACTGATCTACTTGTTCCCGTGACATCTGCCAACTCAACTACACAGTACTCAACAGAGAGCCGCCGGTCCCAAAGTTGCCCATCTTCGCTCCTGCAAACCGGCACGCAGTTCAAACTTGCAGCCTTCAGCGTACGCACATTACTGCAGGTCGGTCAGCAAGCTGGACTGGCGCGCACGCTAGAGACCCTTGGGATTGATATCTGCTGCCTGACTGAAACACGACTCCAGGACTCTAACTCCTTCTACCAGCTGGTGTCACCGCTCCACCCACGCACACGCTTCCAAGTACGCCTGTCTGGTGACGCCGAGTCTGCCACATCTGGGCAAGCTGTTTTGGGGATCGTCCTCAGTGCTAGAGCCGAGACTGCTTTGACTGATTGATTCCGATCAATAGTCGTCTTTGTGCGATGAGGCTCCATGGCTCTTGTAAAGTTAGCAGACGTCGAGTCGAAAATCGTGCTCTCTTCGTGATCTCTGCCTTCGCGCCCACTGACTGTAGCTCGGACACCGTCAAAGATCAGTTCTACCAGAACCTTCATGAGCTACTCCTAAGGGCTCCTAAAACAGATATCATTGTTTATGCAGGTGATGTCAACGCGCGTGTCGGTCGTCTGCTACCATGTGAGCGCCACCTCGGGGGACCGCATGGATATGATGATATTCGCTCAGACAATGGAGAGAGACTGCTCAGTCTGTGCGCTGATCATCAACTATTCCTCACCAGCACCAGCTTTCATCATCCTGCACGCCAGTACGCCACTTGGCGCCCCCTATCATCAAGCGAGCACTGGTCACAGTTTGACCACGTAGCTATAAGTCGCAGGTGGCGCGGCAGCGTACGCGACTGCCGATCATTTTGGTCAACATGCGTCGATACTGATCATGCAGTGGTGTGTGCGACCGTTTGCATGCATTTCGGTGGTGCGCCTAGGTCAAAACACATCCGACTGAACACCTACAAGTTGGAGGACCCAATGGTGAAGAAAGAGTAACAACAAAGACTTCTTGATAATCTCGCTCTCTCTCACACTCTGGATGTTGATCAACACTGGTCAAGTCTGCAAAAAGCCTTGCTGTCGTCCGGTTTGTCCAGCTGTGGCCTCGCTCGCTCCACTCCATAAAGTTAGATCTCGGAAAGATCCTCGGAATTAATGGATCGCCGACGGGCGGTGCCTGCTGACGCAGAGTACGGCGAACACCGCCGGTCTATTACGCAACAGCTGAAAGCAAGCCTTCGCTCTGATCGTGAATATTGGTGGTCAGAACAAGCTGATGATATGGAAGCCACTTCAGCTGGCACTTGCGCAGTCTATTTTACATCGTCAGGGCCACTGGTTGCAATTTTCACGCTAGCAGTCAGACGATTTGCGAATCAGATGGCACGAAGCTCACCAACCTTAACAGGCGACT